TTGAACGAATGCCAGTAAGCAAGCTTTATTCTTCTTTTTCAATTAATAAAATTTAGAATATATATATATATATTTATATTTAACTTATATTTTGTACCTTTGTCTAGTATGGTGTTATTGTTGCAATGGGAATATTAAAAAAAGCTGCAGCTCTGGTAAATAAAGAATATGGATTAGATCCGAAAATAGCAGATGCTATTAGCAAAGCTGCAGATGACGTTATATGTGGGGACCTTTATAATGATCATTTTCCATTGGTAATTTGGCAAACAGGTTCTGGTACACAGACCAATATGAACACCAATGAGGTATGTACAAAGATATTATTAAAAGACATGGAACTTCAAATTAGTTTGTTAATTTTATTTAGGTAATTTCAAATCGTGCAATTGAAATACTTGGTGGTCAGCTGGGGTCAAAAAATCCAGTGCATCCAAATGATCATGTAAACAAAGCTCAAAGTAGTAATGATACATTTCCAACTGCTATGCACATAGCAGTTGCTTTGGAAATTAACAGAGTACTGATTCCTGGTTTGACACAATTATATAAGGCATTAGATGAAAAATCTAAAGCATGGAAAGATATTATAAAAATTGGTAGAACTCATACTCAGGATGCTGTTCCCCTGACATTAGGACAAGAGTTTTCAGGTTAATATTGACATGTTATTCACATTTATATTAGGAATTATATTGCTTTTATTAACAAATAATTTTAATACAGGTTATGCAGCACAAGTTTGTAATGGCATTAAAAGGGTAGAAAATACTCTTCCAAGATTGTATGAATTGGCACTTGGTGGTACTGCAGTAGGTACAGGATTAAATACTGCAAAAGGTTTTGGAGAGAAAGCAGCTGCAAAAATTGCAGAAATTACTGGTTTACCATTTGTAACTGCTCCTAATAAATTTGAAGTTTTAGCTAGTAAAGATACTATGGTTGAAGTGCATGGGGCATTTAATACAGTAGCAGTTTCACTTATGAAGGTATATTTAAATAACATCCTATTTCAAAAACATAACATTTTTAATCAAATGTAAATATTATTTTATATTATATAAAATTTCTATTTAGATAGCTAATGATATTCGATTTTTGGGAAGTGGACCTCGTTGTGGTTTGGGAGAATTATCTCTTCCAGAAAATGAACCTGGAAGTTCTATTATGCCTGGTAAAGTTAATCCAACACAGTGTGAAGCATTGACTATGGTTTGTTGTCAAGTAATGGGTAATCATGTTGCTGTAACCGTTGGTGGAAGCAATGGTCATTTCGAACTCAATGTATTTAAGCCTATGATAGTTGCAAACACTTTAAGATCTGCGAGACTATTAGGTGATGCCGCCGCATCATTTACAAAGAACTGCGTTGTTGGTATTAAGCCTAATGTAGACCGCATTAAGAAACTTTTAAATGAAAGCTTAATGCTTGTTACTGCTTTAAATCCACATATTGGTTATGATAAGGTACCAACATTGCTTAATTTAATAAAACTGATTTGTTATAAGTTTCAAATATAATATGAAAAATATATTTTACTATAGGCTGCTAAAATTGCAAAGCAAGCTCATGCAGAGAACCTCACATTAAGAGAATCAGCACTGAAGAATGGTTTAACTGAAGAACAATTTGATAAGTGGGTAAAACCAGAAGATATGCTTGGTCCTAAATAAATTTGATTCTGCACAATGAAGCTAAAAAATGAAATTTTTTACTGATAATTGTTGGATAAATTTCTTTAGTATACATGTTTGTATCATTTGTGATATAATTATTATTGTTATTGTATATTTAAAATACTTTTATCATTCGTTAATTGTATGTAATAATAATTTATATGATAAATCATTCATACAAAATATGGCAGATAATAAATGTGAGATACTTAAACAAGTACTAATCTTTAATTCAATAAAAAAAAAGTTTTATGTTTTATATTTCTTTTAGTGTATGTTACAATGTATGTTGTAAATCTTCTGTTATCTGTATTACAACAGTCTGAGGGCATAGGTCAATAAACAGCTACTTTGGCGTGTTAAATTCTAAACTAAAACGATAGATATAAAATGAACATCTTAAGGAAAATGCAAAATATTATTACCGGAATTGGAAATCGCAATTATGGCAAAGTTGGAATAATTGGGGTACCATTTGAAAAAGGACAGGTATTACTGTATGTAGTAATAAAATAATGTAATATATTATAATAATAGAGTATTTATAAATATAGCATAAAGAAGGTGTAGCACATGGTCCAAAGGTAATTAGAGCAGCTGGATTAGTACAAGAATTAGAATTGTTAGGTAATTATTATCTATCTTATTGATTTCAAACAGTTTAACAATTACAAATTTAATTCTGACTATACATATTTTTACATTAAACAAGGGTTAAATGTAAGAGATTATGGCAATATTTTATACAAAGCAAAAAATGTAGATGTAAATAATATGTCACACTTGGGTGATATTGCTGGTTGTACAAGTTGCTTATCTGAACAAGTTCAACAGGTTTTGAAAGAAGATCGGAGAGTACTAACTATTGGTGGTGATCACAGTTTAGGGATTGGAACTATAGATGGTCATGTTAAGGTACAATATGAAAAAAACTGTATTTGATATTAGTTATTTTTAAAAGTATACTTTTTTTGTATACTGTTTATTCTATACTATATTTTTGAAGGAAAAAGGAAATGTAGCTGTTATATGGGTTGATGCTCATGCAGATCTAAATACAAATAAAACTAGTGAAAGTGGCAATGTTCATGGAATGCCCGTAGCATTATTAACTTCTGAATTGGCTGATTACTGGCCACATCTTCCAGGAATGGATTGGCAACAACCAATGTAATTTATATATCATAAAAATATTTTCAAGACATTATGATATTCTAAGTATGTGATAATTATTTACAGGTTATCTATTAGAAATGTAGCTTATATTGGATTAAGATCTGTTGATCGCTATGAGAGATTAGTTATTGAAAAATTTGGTATCACTGCTTTTGGTATGGAAGATGTTGAAAGATATGGTAATATTTTATATTTTAAACAATGAAAAGATTTATGAATTTATTATAAGTCTTATAAGAATCAATTAATATTTCTGCTCAGGTATTCATGATGTTGTTTACATGGCATTGAATAAAATAGATCCTAATGAATCAAAATCATTGCATGTTAGTTTTGATATTGATTCATTAGACCCATTAGAAGCACCATGTACAGGAACTCCTGGTAAATTATCTGTTTCTATTTAAATAATTTTTAGCCCAATTCTTAGATATTTTTTATTCATTTTAGTACGTGGTGGATTATCACTGAGGGAAGCTGTTCATTTAATGGAAGTATTATATAGAACTAATAGACTTAATGCAGTAGATCTTGTAGAAGTGAATCCTTATATTGGTAATCAACGTGATATTCAATTAACCGTTGAAGCTGCTATACATATTATTCAAGCTGGATTTGGTTATACTAGAAGGGGTCTTAAAGTTCCGGAAGGTGTTACAGATATGCCATTACAGACATTTAGATAAACTATTTTTATCCATAATATCATATAATTAGAGCAACCTTACATATTACTCATTTAATATGAACAAGTTATATGATCAAATTACTCAGTTCTCTTTTGCAGCTTATATAATAATAAGCTTTTGTAAACTTTTAAACAATACCACAAAAATATAACAGAAAAACAGAAAAGAAGAATATACTTCATTACTATATTTAATAAATATTATGAATCACAACAGTCTCATGAGGAATATTATTAAATTGAATTTCTGCTTTCTTTATTTCATTTGTCTTATCTGGTTGAACTTGATATTCAAAATTTAATATTCCTTTACTTTTAGATCCTTTCACATTGACACTAAACCGTTTGATATTATTTTCGTTTTCCTTGATCGTTATTTTTCCTTCCTGTATTGGTTTCCCTAAACGGTTTAGAGTTTCCTCCTTATTGTAAAATATATCCAGTGCCTTTTTGTAAGTAATTGATCTTCGAAGTCTATTTTGTACAGAATAATGTATAACATATCCAGTACTCACAGTCCCAATAGTAAAAAGAGCAACCAAGTTTGCCCAAGGCACCTTAAAGAATTGTTCTTTAATGTTCATTGTATAAAAATTTTAGGTTAGATATCATTAAAACGAAAACAAATAAATTTAAGTACTGACTATTAAGAAAATCACTTATCTTAGATTATAACACATATTAAACACATACCTTGCTCATCGTAATTACACTTTAAACAATTCAGTGAAAAATATAACTTTAATAAATATAAAGATCGTATCGTTTTCACAAAGTAACTCAAGCAGACTCTTTGTATCTATATTTAGTTTTATTATGAATAAATAAATATTCTTATAATGAAATTGTACAATAAATACTGTTAATAATAAATCATATTATATATTAATAAACTCTACACTTATTGTAGATTTTATAGATTTATGATAATAATAGATTAGAACAGAACTTTCGTTCGTTAGAATAGAACTATAATAGAACTTTCGTCACGTGATCGTATTGTATTTCCAAGTTCATTACTTCTTTGCTCATTCCAAGATCAATTAAAGTAAATTGATAGTAAAGGGTATAGTAAAAAAATCATAGATAATTCGTTAGATATAAAAATTACACGCTTTATTTGTAAGGTTTTTTATTTATTTCTTTATTTCAACAAACACAATATCTTTAATATGTGCAAAACAACCATGTTGCTGTACACATAGTATTTAATGGCATCTATTAAACAGATTTTAAGTGTACATTCGTAAGATGTTTTCAGCAACAAGATGTCTTTACTTTTGCGCGATACGTTACTAGATAATTCTAGGTACATGGACATTACAACAATATACACTAAAATTCATAAGTTTATACGTTGTAATCTACAATTAATAGGTATATTTTTCTACATAAATATAAGTATTTTCGGTAATATAGTAAAATTTGCTCACATATTTCGATAAGATCTTTATGTACAAAAAATTACAAAAAAAAGAATTATCACGAAATCCACGATGACGTATACAAAAATGAAGATTTTTATAAATCGTACACGATTAAGAGGTATTTTATAGAGCGTATATATAGATTATTAGAAAGGTATCTTATGTAAAATAATATACAGGTGGCAATATATAAAGTAAGACTAGATGTAAGTGTCACGGACTCTATCTATAAATCTACAATCGATACAGTAGTTCGAGACACAATTCAAAAGCGAAATCACCTGCCTTAACGCAAGAATATGCGGCACAACAACGGCTGAAAGCGTACTGGCAAGAAGAGAGCAAATTGTATTTGTTAATGATTAATATCTTTCTTCCTGATTTTTATTGATCTTTTCAGACAATTTATGGTATGCTCACTAAGTAGGGCACAATACTGAAAAAATAATAATTTTTTTACACATTTAAACTTATACATTCATTCACATAAGCTCAAGATCTAATTACCTTTCAGTATATAGTCTGTTAACAAAGTAGGTACAGTTGGGCTATCTTCGCTAATTGCTTTTAATACTGTAAATTAAAATATCAGAATTAAATGTTTAATTCAAGCATATAATTATCCAGTGATACTCACTTTTTATGAGAACTTGTAACGCCTGATTGTCTGGTGGACCACTGTCCGTATGGTATGGAATTACAGTAGTTAAATACTATAAGCACCAATATCAAAATTAAATATTTCAAACTCATATTTATAAAATCATTATCTCGAAATAATCGCGAATCACCTTAGATTCTTGAAGCGATCTATGTTGCGGTAGAGGACTAGTACCATTTTGCATTTGATTTCTCTTTTTCGTGACATGATGCTGTCTTCGTCGATTTTGTACTGCTAGTAATAATGAAATAAATTGATTTTTTAATTCTTTTTCATACTCAAGCTCATCGCGTAATGCAAGTTCCGCAATGAGAGTTTCGCTCAAAGCTCCCACCAAGGATTCCATTTCTCCGAGTAATTCAGTCAGTTGGCTGGAGGTAAATTGTTTTAGTTCTAGAATAAACGATTGTGATTTAAAATTATGAGGTTTATTCTAATGCACTTTAATGTTTTGAAGCTGTTCATGAAAATATACTTTTCTCGTGTAGTGGAGAGCACAGAACTTCTCTGCTTCTCTCCAACGCTTCGTCGCTATCTAATAAAGACCCATCAGAATCCGGAGATCTTTCCATCGACGGACTTTCCTGTACAAAATAAATTATTTCTTGTTTTTTTCTCTCTTCACATAAAACAGTACAAATAATTTTGTTTGAGAAGATTGATGTTTACCTGCATTATATCGTCTATTTCACGGAGCACTTCTTCGGCAGTCTTCAGCGGTTCCTCTGGACTATGAGTATCGGTGCTACTGGACAAGATCAAAGCATGCATGTCCAAATCAGTTGCAACAGCCTCATCTTCGCTACTTAAATCTTCTAGTTCAGGTCTACAGCAAACAAAACGAAAGCGTCCAATTTGCAAACTTCAGTCGCGCTTTTACGTTCTTCAAAGCAATATTAAATTGTCTCTCATCGTTTCGAAGTATTTTTGGCAAAAGGAAAGCAGCAAAACAAGGATGTAGAAACTGCTTAGAACTATAGTACAAGCTAGAGCTTACCTTTCCTGTGAGACCGGTGCCTCGTTCAAATTAAGTGCGGGCATATGCATTTTTCTAGCATACGATTTGCTCCAGTCGATTGGTAATATGTTACCAAACGTGCCGGTAATCGTCCACCACATTCTAAAAGAAGAAGAAGAATTTGAAAATCTTTGGTTAAGGCGCGCGATAAGCGGACACAGAATAAGCGTTTCTCTACAAGACAAATTAAATTTCATCAAGCGTGTTACTAATTATGCAGACGCCACATTAGCTGACTCACATCCTTTTGCTGAATTGTCCTCTGTCGTTTCAAAACTATCGAATCGCGCAGGCAACTGCTATTTTTAATCCTCAACTCTTAACAATTTCTCAGAATCAACAGTGAGATTTAATCCTACGTGATATCATATGAACACGCTTGCTAGGGAATCAGTACTAGTTACAATTTGGAGCAAGGATATCCGAGAAAATAGTTATATTTCTAGTCGTCATCTGTTCTATCTTTAAACCGAGCAAGCAACAGTAACATATCGCGAACGAATTGTTCCATCGTATATACCCTGACAAATGGAGAACAATCGTGTGAACGTCGAACTTCAGTCTAAATTTCGTAGCAGTCTGCAAACATCCTCCATGATTCCCAGGGGCGTGATATCGTGGTAAATACCCACTGGTAAGAGACACGATAAGATTCTATGACGCAGATAAACGTTCGGATGAAGTCTCCGTTTTCTGGGATACCGTGTGAATCATTGGGTTCTCGTAGGCGTTTCCCGGGCCGTGTACACCCGTGCACACGGCGTGCATGTGTATGGACGGCCCGTTCGGTTTCGTGCAAACGAAGCCTAACTTATTTCGATAACAATGCACCCATTCTAAGGAAATGAATTTCCGTGTGGAATCGGTACGCGCGAACGAGATCCTATCGATAGCTATTTCTCACACCTCTGATTTGTAAACAATTTCGATTCGATGACACGTTACACGAGTCCTGCAAAGTTTTGTTTGTATGTCTTCATTTCCTTTCCTTTTCCCTTGCGTTTATGTCCAATTAAATTTGTTCCCGTTACGATTGCCGGATAATCGGCTAAACCGAACTCGAACGAATTGATTAGGTTCAATTAAGGTTGTAACAGGAGCTTCACGGTTCACTGGTAACCTTCGAAATTTTTTCTTATGATTAATCTTATCGATCAAACTGATTCTCTTCATTTCGATCTTATTATTATTTTCATTTGGTCGTTCGTGGTATAGCATGCTCGAACGGTTCTTGGAAATAAAAGGAGCATATGGGCACATATGTACGACGGGTCGGTCGATGGTGTTGGATTAACAAATGGAGGTCAATTCGACCCACTCGAGTTTCTCATTAATGTTAAGTGTATTAAAGCAGTGACTTCATCCTGCGCGCATGTTGGTCGCATCATTCGAAACAAACGCCTAAACAATCAGGGCCAGATCCGTTGGCGAAAGAATCGTCGAAACAGGGCAACAATTCCGTCCGGTTTTGTATTTATTCGAGATTTTAATCTATTCGGAACAACCTATAGGATAATTGCATGATAATTGTCAAAGGTAAAAAACTAATTAAAATTTAATAACGTACAAGAGAAAAATAACATTTCCTCGTGGCCACCGCTCGTGAGATGCCCCCTACATCTTTCCCCATTAACTGGAACGAGAAAAACGCGGTGAAATTGAATTCCCGGGAAGGCGAGTGTATCTCCCCCTGCTTATTAATTCATTCTTCGGTTCAATGATCCGTGACGGGGCTTGTACAGTACTCGTACGTTATCTGTTGCATAACACAAACAGCTTACGAGGAGAAACAGCAACTCTTCGACGATACATCACCCTGATAAATCGTTACATTCCAATCTATCTCATCTAACTCGAAACAAAGTCAATGAAACTGCACTGGGATCTACAAAGAACGATATGATATACTCTTTAATATATACCCTCCGATAAATATCATTCATCAAAAAATAGACAGTGCATTACCATGCAGAGAAACTGGACTATTTCTGCCAGATCTCTCTATTATATCGATGTGCCTCTTTTCCGTGCTCTTTCCGCCGACATAGATAAATAAATTGAGAAGCAAGGAAACGAGACACGAAAGAGAACGACGGTCGGGAAACATCGCACCGGTTGGTTAGTACAGCGCGTGCGCTGTTTTATTGACGTTCGTCCATCCGGAGGGTGGCTCGATACGAACGACGGAACAAAACACAGAGATCAAATTTTCATGGGAGAACCCCCTCTTGATTCGATCAATGCACGATTTCTCGCCACTGCGATCGCGTTACTCAACCGTTTTCCTCGGGACCTGAATTTCGGTATCCCGTTGCGTTGGTTACCCTCCTTCGTGTCACGTGTTAATCTCGCCATTTTTATACTCGTAATTGGAAACTCGTAGCAGCTTTTTGTGAAATAAATAAACAGGTACTAACAATTTGAATCGTACGTTCCAAACGAATTTCAAAGGATATTCGTTTAAGTATTCTTTTATATAACTGCACATTTTAATCAACGATTTCATAGCTTTTGAAGCAATGCCAACAAGAATAGCATGGAAGTGGTGGGGTTACTGGGAGTTTTACCAAAGAGTAGACGACCTATGGCCTGAAAAGGGGGCCATAGAGAAAGAAGGAAAGGAAGTTACCTGCTATTGGGCGAGAAAGTCTTTCAGGAGGTGAAAAGAAGGCTACCGTTTCTCGTTCAAAGACGAGCACCTATTGCAGCCACGACCTTGGCTTCGAAGAAGAGAGACGCGTTTTATTTCGTCGAACAACGCGATTTTTGAGAGAAGAACTTTAGTCTCGTGACAAATTGGATTATGAACAATGCGCCGGATACTCATGCACGGATGCGTTTATTCTTTCCGGTTTGATGCATGCATATGAAAGCGGCCACCAGTGCCGAATGAGACACGTGCGACTGCACGTGTCCGATCTCTGCGAAGCTCGGCCACTGACCTCTCAACTCTTTACGGCCGTTCAAACTTTTGATATTTCGACAGATTCAAAATTGTGCACGCAGTTTATTAGAATTGAGGAAAATTTATTTTAAATCGACTCTTATAAATCAGGTTAAAATATTGGATTTCAGTATTTAGTGTTCTTCGAACAACACGAAAATGAATGAGTACTACATACATTTGTGTCCCTTTAATATTTAGATCTTTGGACTTGGACGATTGCATGGTACAAGAGCTACGGAAATTTTCTTACGAAATTTTGAAATCTATGATGTTATATGGAACTTTACCCAGGGACTACGTTAATGAAAATATATCGAGGTAACCCGGAAGTATCGAATTTATTTTCTCCAGGACCGCGCCCATGGATTTCAACCGCAGCTAAATAAAAGGAGGAAGTTTCAGGTAGGCGCCTGCCCAAGCAGCAGGTACACAACTCCGAAAGAACTATAGCGTGTGGGTCCGTTTGACCTCCCTTAGCGGGTGAGAGTTAATTCTTCGTTCCTGATGCAATCTCAAAGAGGTTTTCCCTTTGACATAATAGCTTTGGTCCCTAGGTCCACGAGGTGCTTTCACGGGTTTATTTTTTTTTTTTTTTTTCCTCTTTTGATCGGCTCGATGAAAAGCAACAGGATGTCTAGACAGATTTCGAGAAAGGCGTGACTTCAAAGAAATTTATGCACAACCAGTGGAGTTGAAACGAGTTTAAGAGCCCCGCCGTGTTACTCTACACCGAAGAAGATACAATTTTGCGCTTCGTTGAGCTTCACCTGCACCGACTCGTTACGTGGCGGAATATATTCGGTCGGTCACCTGCACTGTGGTTAATACCGTGAATTTTTTATGGGGTTTATTCCCGGGAATTTCTAAAACCTTATACGCCTCTTGCAACAGACATTTCAATTGTTTTCGATTAACTCTTACGGTGTCTGAAATTTTCTAGAGTTTCCCTGCGTACGAGTATTTTCGTAAGGATTATATCTTTACTTAACCATGAACTTTCACCAAGATGTAATACTGGATAAATAGTTACGTAATCTAGTATATGATCGATGAAAATGACTCGTAAATACGAAGCAGAAAATGTAAAAGAAACGATGAAGATACGCCTTTTGTTGCGTGGAATTTAGAAATCGAGAAGGAACCGATCGATCAACCATCAATGTGCCCACGGCGCGCGACGATAGTCTAATTAGAAGGTAAGTTACTTTCTTGTTACGCGGCTTGTCCACTCCGCGGAGAGAAAGCTGCAGAACGCGCCGCAAACGTCATGTAGAGAGTACTCATGGCGGCACACTTTTCTGTTGGAAAATCGATACCATGATCTTAGGGATCAGGCTTGTAACGAAAACCCGCGTCTCGTTAAAAAATGCTATTCCAAAGTTCTGAATTATCGTCGAAAAATCATATAATTACCTTGTCCTTTCCTTCTTTCTAACAGGAAAAAAGAAGGAAAAATCATTTGAAGAGAAAGGCCCAAAATCATCAAGCCGTTAACAGAAAGAAGAGGATTAATATCAGTTGAACCGTATCAATCTGGTGGCAATCAGCAAGTAGCTGTAACGCTTCTTAATGAAACCATACGAGTATCGTTCAAGCGATATCGGTTTAGTCAGAGCCATCGAGCGAAACTGTTTGCGCGTCTTAACGAGAGTCGAAGAAAGCGTTAACACGAGCTTACTTAAACTGGATATGAAATATTACCCACAGAACAACCAATAGAACCATAATAGTATAACATTTGCACCTTGTTTATACGACCCATAAACTCATGCAAAAAGTTCCATTAAACAACGTAGTCCGGCATCTTGAATTATGTTATTGGAAGACCGACCGATGGGACCGATAATTATTATTCACACGGGAATAATATCGTAACGGTGATGACCATAAACGATTACTTCCGTTCAGCAAGCACCAGCGTGACTATCATTACTTTATAACGAGGATCGAAGAGTTGCACGATGTAATAGATATCTCAAGGTAAACGCGACAATTTGAATGCGATAACTCCGGCAATCTTCGGGGGTATTCATTTACTCGACGATCCGCCACGCAGCGGCAGCAGCTTTACTTTTTTAATCGTCGAACGTGGCCGTATAAACCGGTATAACTGTACCGGAGATATCGCGTGACCCAAGGGTAATAGAAACTTCTCAATCGCGCACGTACTAACGTAATTTTCACTTGTGCACTTTTTTTTTTATCGTTGTTCTATAAAAAGGAGGTCGTTCGATGACGCTGAATAAAAGAAGAGGAAAGAAATAAAGAAACCGCTGGAACTTTCATTTGCAACCATTATCTTATACTAATTGATCGATCAACAAAGTCTCAGTTTTTGTGTCAACGTTTGCCAAGTGGTTATCGTTTAAACGCTCTAATGAACTTTGGTGTAACGATGTATATTTAAGAAACGAGACCAATACAACGGATTCTTGTAACCTTTCTCTCGTTACGTTTCTCTTCTACCGCACGAGCTTATCTTGGTAATATATTGGATAAACCCTAATCTACATAATCACCAAAAAAACCCACCGATGCTCCAGAAACTTACTGGCACTCGTTCATAATTTCTTCCTGCGTCCGTACTTGCACAGGTGCTAGAGACTCGACGTTCGTGCCGTAATCGCGGAAGCAGGATGTTATCTTCTCGTCGAAGGTGTTAACGAGGTCCTCGAGACTTCCACTGAAGGGGCTGAATGTCCCCTCTTGGAGAATATCAGTACCATTTTCGTGCGTGGTGGCTGGCTCGTTTGCGTTACAATTTTCTCCGTAATTCGTGTTTAAACTCGTGTCCAGCAATTGTTCTAAATATGATAAAGAGAAATCATGATCAGTATTTATACATTCTTTCACTGTTTCTTTTTTTTTTTTTGCTCTACTTTTAGCATTCGATGACGCATCAGTTTATCAGTCACCGTTCCTAATAGAATCGAGAGAAAAGTAAACACAATGGTTCGATCGTATGGGACGTAATAAACCGAGTGGCCAATAATAGCTCATCGTTTGTGTACCGAGTTTCATCGTAAGAAACTCATTACGAAAGTACTTGGAAACAGAATAATACGTGTACCTGTTTGACATAGAAGACAAGGTATACTAATTTACTTTTACCACGAATGCGTTATCAGTTACATAAACGCGATGGATCGTAGTATCTTGTAGATGTCAGTGACGCATGGCGGATCGAATGTTTTTAGGATTAAATATCAGTCATTTTTTCGTGCCACCAGAGGGCATATATACGCGTTTTGCGTTTCTCCACGCACGAGCCCGCCGGCGTTTCGAGGCCAGATTTCCAACGATGTGTGTTCTACGATGTCGTGAAAAGTGATACGAGAGTTAAAGCGTACATGAAGGATATTAGACACCAATTGTACGCATGACGTAGTCTTTTGTCGCGCGTTCGTCGCCCGAAGGTCGCTTCTTCACCGCTGCATATACTAAGCCACCCTCGTCATTTAATTTGCACGTCCGCAAAATGAGCGTGACCACGCGTGCACGCACGTTTTATACGTTTACACAGCCAAACGAAACCTGTTCCCACTATCGAGAAACTCTTTCGGTTTCGAAATTTCCGCTTATAGTGCCGGCGACGTACTGGAACGCCTTTTTTAGTCAAAGTAAGGAACATCAAGAACATCAAGAAAATCACGCGACAGCCTGTCTTGGAATCGTTTTTGTTTCATAACTCAACGATATTCACCTACTTTCCCACTAGCTCGAGATCGATTGTGCCAAAAATAAGGGTGAATCGAGAATTATCGAAGGTGTATCGATTCTCGGTTTTACGAGAAATCCGCCAGGTCCGTAGCTGTGGTACTTGGAAAAATGCGTTCGTAACAAAGAGATATTTCCGATTCGAGAACATCGGAATAAACTCTGACCCAAAACGAGGTTAACGCAAATCTGTAGCGACAGAATGGGACGGCCGATAAATCGAGAACAAAGAAACGAAAGGAAAGCCAAATCATGCTGTTCCACACCTGTCAGTAAATTCATATTCTTCAAACTGGCTGTGTCTTCCTCCTCGAAACGTGCGAGGGGTGCCTCGAACTTCAACTCGGCGATCTTGCCCGCCATGTCCCTCATTATTGACCGTGTAGAGAAGAACTGGGAGCGAAGTCAATCACCGTGATGAAATTCGGCACCGTACACTTGCGGCAGCGCCCCCGAGGCGCACCGTTTCCTTTGTTGATTTTACGATTTTTTTTATAAAGGGGTAAGAATGAGAAAGACGACAGACATTAAAATCGATTACCCAACTACGCACTAACCACCGCCTGCGAGGCTTCGCGAACGACTGACGCAGAGGGGGCTCGTTCGAAAATAGTGGGGGAAGATGATTGCTAGTCGCCATGACGACCGCTGGCTGAGCGCGTCGATGCCACGAAGCAACAACAGTAACGTATTCGAAATATGAGGCACCCTTTGAGATTAATAAAAATATTTCTCTAAAGAATAATTTTTAATATACGAATTTGAGATACACATATAAATTTCTGATATCATAGATAAGATATAATATAATTCTGATATTCAATGCATTGTTATATAGTATGACTCAATGATTTAAGAGCTTCTTAATAATTTAGTGTCATTCCCAACGTTACCGATTCAGCACAGAATAAGATTGCGACACTATGTGGTTAGAATTACAACTACTACAAAGCTTAGTATAAAAATAAAATCACAGACGAGATATAGAATAGACTAAACATTATGTGTCATCCGCAACATTGCCGACAGAGTATTGAAAGTTAGTACAGTGTACGGTGGGAATTGCAAAGCATTCGAACAAAGCATTCCGCTTTTACAATGCAAATCAACTTTGATTTATAAAAAGTGATTCTATAATTTATTAGAAAACTTATTCTCTTCCATTAGCTATTTTTGATCCACTTACCCTCTCTTTTTAATTTCTTATTTTTCAGAATTAACATACTTCCTATGGTCGATAATAATATCTGTGTCATAAAAGTTTATGGAAGCATGAATATACTCATACTTAATAAAACTTGTTTAAATTGTTCGATTTATTGTTAACGACAAATCGGTATTATTAATAACAAAGCGGTATTGTTAATAATAAATTGCACAAAGCACGAATATATAAAAAATGTAAAAAAATTAACGATTTATTGACCATTATAATAGAAAAATAAATATCAGCAGAATCGGTAACGATCGGAAATTTTCGTCGATCCTCGGTCGATCGCCGGCTATATAAAGGCCGCGCGATCGACGATCGATTCATTCGTTGATTTGATTTCGTCGGACTAACATCTAAATTTTTATGTGGGTGGATTGGAGGCGGGGTTGGGGTGGTGGATGGTCATTGATTAGACTGTAGATCTAGCCGATAGCCACTGTCCACTCCACCCACTTCCACTCCCTTAAACAATTTTTTAATTTTTTAATTACTTAATTATTTAATTGCAAGGAATTAATTTTTTTTTAGAACTTATTTCATCGTTGGTTTATATTTATGTCCGATAGTTGCGTTCCCAACCACTCTCAGTCTCGTCATGCCTCAAGTTCTAGGGTCGTCTTCCGGCCAGTGTTTCTTCTGGTATCGATGCGAGGGTCTGTCGTCCCTGGTCGTAAGCGTCAGGGTATAGGTCTTGTACTTTGACGGGCATGACGTGTCTGCGGTCAGACCACTTGGCATGATTCTTTTTTGTTTCAACCCCATCGGACAGGGGCATGTAGTGTCCGTCCTGCTACTAGGCTCCGCTGGACCCTCGTATCGGTTCTGATAGTTTCGTTGGTTCGTCAATTACCTCGGTTTTCTTTGGAAGATGATGACAAGCTACCAAATTTAAGATATTAGCGATCCATTCATAATTATACAAATTCTGTTTATATTCCAGTAGGAACTGGAGTTGGTACTGAAGTCTCCATTGCTATTTCGAGAAATGGTTCTCCAAGTGGCCGTCATCCTAGGGTAGAGGACACTATATTCAGGCTCGCATTTTTAGGTCGGTAAAACAGTCAATGTTGGACCGCAAAATTCCACGTAATGTTAAATCTTTTCTATACTTTGCGGCATAATAAACGAATACTTTTATATACGATCGGTATTTCAGAACACGAAGTCTCATAAGGCGATAATCCATTTTGTACCTTCGCTGTGGCGACGTATAATTACATATTCTACCGTTCCATTGGCGTTGTAGTCTTTTCCAATACTGAATCGATAACGTCGCATGCGATACGAAGATGTCAAGCGAATCTACCGACAAAACCAGGTGACGAAATAAAAAAAGGACGTTACGTGTGTATTTTATTTTATATCTCATCTGTGATTAATTTTTCTCTGACAATTTATATCGCAACAAAGATGCGAATTTTCCATTTTATAATTGTTACATGTACTTCCGTGGTAAAATTTAATTGAAGAGCAGAAAAAATCGCACGAGAAAATTCATCTTGGAATAAAATTTTAGCGTGACTTTGATCGATATCAGCCACAGGATACAACCAGGTACTGTATTCGATTACGTATACACGATCGCGAGATTGACCAGAAGTTTCCTGACGTAATCCATTTTCCACTACTTGCTTGCTTTACATGATGTTCTTTCTTCCATCTGACAGAATCGTAGCGTAACTCTGCTGCAGGAAATTCATTGGAAAAGAACCGAGATAAATTCCATTTGCTCCAAAGCCACACCTTGGTAATTTTCGAGCAAAAAGTGTTTCGCTTTTCAACACGATATTCGCGATAATACTGCCTAGCCTACAGAATTAATATACAGAACAATTACACGTGGATAGAAGTCACTGTTGGAAGGTCCGTTTTTGGCATTTTCTGCGCTATTTGCCCTTTCGACGACCCGAATAAAGGCCAAAGGGAGAAACTTTGCGTTCGACAAAGCAATTTGGAAAAGGACAACCACAGATATGTCCCCGATTCAGGGTATGTTTAGTAATACCGTATTACGATATTGGGCCAGTGAAGAAGAAGTGGTATATTCGTGGATTGTGCAAGGAACGTGGAAAGGTCACTGTCACAGGGGATTGTAGTCAACCTTGATAATATCGTATAATTCATTGTTAGCAGGAGGTGATAGATGCCAATGAATGATTAACTGGTACGAGATTTAAACGATATCTAGCAAGAGATGATTATCGTAGCGTTTAAAAAATACCCAACGCAACGTGAACTGTTTAACGTAATATTCAGCCATAAATTAGGTAAAAAAATTTGTTTAAAAAACGAATACCAATGGTTGAATAAAATGCCGTTAAGACAAGGAAATTACTAAATGGAATTTTATAGCGTAAGATTTTTAGCTTTATTTGTCGCTCGTAGGTTGAAATTTATCCGGATAATCGATGGCACGATAGTTTTGAAAGTGTTGGTAACGAAATGACGGTGTTTGCAATTACAAAAAGGATGTTGGCATAATTCATGAGGCGTGGTTTCTGACAAGAAAAAAATACTGCTCGCTGCGTTGGCAGATTCGCGTATTGGCAGTGGCAAAGTAGCTTTGCTCCTCTGCAGATTGAAATAAATCAATGCAGCTTAACCGTGGAATGCAACAGAATCGCGATAGCAGGAAACTGGAACACGAAACGCGAATTAACGGAAAGCGCAGTATTTATGAAAGGAAAGACATTTTATCCATCTTATTTAGGGCAAGAGGCTCGAATAAAAATTCACGGCTAATCGTTACTTCGACACGAACAGATAACTATGGCCACGTAACGTTTGGGTCATTAATATTCCAGGTGCACGCGATTTTAACTCACTGGATTACATTAAAACACGATCGATCATTTGGTTCTTGCAATCAATCCACGTTTGTTTACTTTCAACGCCGTTGTGCCCGTCAACGTCGATATCGATTGATACCGTGCCGACGATAAGCGTAATTGATTTCATCGATATAGATCACACACCCTGCTGGGGTATTTAAATTGCTTTATAATCATAAGCATGGAAATGGTAATTACAAACGTCCATGGTAATTATACGTGGCGCGTGAATTTACCGCTGGTTAGCGGTTCGTTGCTTATGTATCAACCGACCAGTTATACGTACATTTTGCATTTTGCATAGGATATTGCAACTCACAAAGGCAATCCGGGCTGGTCGAGGTACAGACTGGATTCAGACTTTACACCATACCGATCAATCTCGTGGCAACGCATCACGGATTAATGAAAATTTCCTGCGGATTTATCCGGCCGGCAGACACCGGTTTAAATCCCGAATGCCATGGCACGGATGCCAAAGCAATGGATGGTTAAGTTGCTTAATTTCGTTATGTCTACATGGATGCTGGGGAGCATTTCTATGATCGGTCGACCCAGCGAGTTGAGGGCCCAATTACCTGATAGTTCCAGATCTTGCAACCTAATCAAATTCAATGGAAAAATAGAGCTGGGGCTACCCTTCCCATGGGTTGTTGTTGAAGGGATATTACGTGCCGGATGGTAATGACCCTCCCTATTGCTCCAACTTTGTTCTCACGTTGGCAGTGCGTAGTTGGCGATAGACTGAAGGGGACGCGTGTGTTTCAAAACGGCGAAAAGTGGCCTACAAAGTTCAACACTTCCACAGGTATGTGAGAAACGCGTCCCGCTTCTTCCGAATAAACAATTCCGTGGAAAGTTATACCTACATCGAGAACAGTAAGAAGATCGGAAGCACGAGGTTTCGTTAGTAAGCGAGGGAGTTAGGCAGACACGTTGCGTTAACGATACTTCTGTTCGATGAAAAATTAATACATTTGCCTGCGACGATCCCACGGCGAATACGCAATAGCAACTGGACGTTGTTGAAAACATGACCAGGTCAACTGGTTCATCCGGCAACTTTGTTGCGCGTAGCGATGAATCGATTTTCTCACGTGTTAGAGTAATCCGATCACCGGATTTATTGGATAGAGGAAGGGTAGCGGAGTGCAAAGACGAATGTTTCACTGACCGTAGGTATAGATTTTCCATGAAACGAGGATGAGAAATCTCATCGCTACGGAGTAAATATATCGGCGACATTGGCCATGTTCTCCTCGATCCTTCGGCTTCTATTCTCGGACGAATCCGTGGTGCATCTCGTTTTACAGACGGAAATAGCCCCGCGAGTATTTCCCTCGGCTGAGAAAATTTCATGCAATCGTCAAACTCCGAGGGACCTTGCCCCGATATTACGAATTCTCGATTATTCGTAACTCTGATTTCCTCGAATGAACTTTAACCGCGTTGCAACATCGTTCATGCATTCGGTGTTTTACAACGAAATCGTGTATCGCGTCGACCGCAAAGAAAGTAGCGGCGCAAACGTGACCGCGCTGATAATGGCACAATGTTCTCGATAACGAATTATCATCGACGATTAAACGGACGGCCGCATCGCGTATGAAGCGTGTAGACGCGGACAGCCTGATCTATGTAGAAGAATTGTTTCGTCCCGGCAGTGTCAGCTGTAATTCGATTATACGTCTGGTTTTCGGAGCGGAGCACGTGCCTCAAGTACAAAATATCCTAAACCACGCTCGGTGCATTTGCGTTAACCGGTACACAGCCGGAGTACCTGGCCTGTTGGACGCAAATTCGAAGAGTGTGGCGTATCGAGAGACAGTGCCACGCCAGAAGGTGAGCGCAACAGGGGACCTGATATTTGGCCGGGTCTCTGCCTCCGTTCCTCTCTGTTTGCTGCGTGTGTCGGCACGCGGCATGGTAAGTGCCAAGTCGCCATCTGTGTACCAGGTGTCGACAACATTTCGATTATGCGTGTCACGTATCGAGCTTCAAGGCGGCGAGTCTCTTAACTAGGGGATGACGATCGTTCGGGGAACACGGGACATTTCGATCGGAGACGTTGCTTGCCGCGGGGCCCAACGCCGGTGGGACCATCGCGACAGTCGCACGCTTTTCGTACAAACTTGTTTCAGATCTCGCCTCGAGCTTTCGAATTATTCCCATAGTCGCATGCGGTCGTCTATCACCCGGAAACGAACGAGTGCTCGAAACGAGCGCGAGAAGAACTTGGACTGAAGTCTAAACGAGATTAGCCTCGATTGCAACGATACCGCGCGATCGAATGTGATCCAGGTGTAGAGCTTGAATACCAATTTCCTCGGAACACCGTCCACGCGCGTCGCGTTTCAGGGAAACTATTGCGCAGAAAGAAGCCTCTTTACGAGCAGCGTACTCTCCATTCAGCGTGAATTATCATTCGATGCAGCGTGAACGGAACTATGCAAACGCTTATGCAAATATGAACGGGATAACGCGGTCACTGTTTGAATCAGGGACCATTTGCGCAAACCGCTCTATCGGGCTAACTTAAGCTTAAATAATTGTTGTACACCGAGCGATGGCATAATCGTGGAAACTCAGTGGAGTGCAACGTATTTTTTCTCCTCTTCTACGTCTTCAACAAATTGTTTCCCGACAGTGTTCCTTGATCGATAAAATATACGATCATAATGACCGCTGCTCGATAATTCCGCCGTTGGAGAACCGTATGAAGTAACGCAGACTTAGTATAAATTCCATCGTTCGTGCGATTAGGATTTTTGTGCCACAACCGTTGAAGAGGTTGATGAATTACGAGAAGCGAGGTGTAACCAACAATAATAGACACACCTATAAGCGATGTTTGCTCGTGTTGAGCGAGTCGTGTCGCGTTATGAAATAGAAATCGCGTCTCGAGCATTCATTAAATGGCACATGAAGTCTATCTGTGATTTTTGAAATAACTATATCATCGATCACCGATCGATCGGAAGGCGTGTCCCGTTCCCTGCATAAATCGCAATTAATTCCAAGGCACGACAGTTTAATAGTAATTAATATATTTATATGCCAGCTAATGGATTAATTATCCAGCACGCGTTACGCTGCTGTGTTTCAAGGCAATCGAGAATAATCGAACTGTCACGATATGTCATTCAACGTTCTATGCCACGGTCCAAGCAACTGGACAATAGTGGTATGAACGTGCTAGAAACGTCCAAAGAATCGAAGGAAATCGCGAGTGGCGAATCTAATTGCGTTATAATCCGCAGATAGGCACGCAGTAGAGGTTATCGGATAAGCGAACGGTTCGAGGGAGAAAAGATAGAAAGCTAATGCGACTCGCTAATGGATCGCAACGTTTTGAAGCAGGTACTTTATTCTCGAGGCAAAGTTACGTACGATTATCGCGATTTTAATACAGGAGAAGGTATGCCTTATGCCGATTGGCTTGCCACTTACGGATCTAGCACCGCCTCTGCCACTCGATCGAGAATCGTTTATGCATCTACGTAACGCGTATCGCGATCTCTCAACGGCTGGGTGATTAAGTCACGACAAGGTATATCATTCATCGACCAACGTTGCATTATTAACGAGCATTGAAAGCGTTTCGTACTAACCGATCGAAGGGTAGATTAATTCGGCTGTCCCTTACACGGCGGACAGGCAGCTTTCCAGGTCCTGCCTCGCATTGTTACCCAAGTTTCCGAGATAGGAATATTCATTTTTGTCGTAACTCATACAGCTTACGTTACTCGGTGTCCTGGATAACGGTACACTCGATACGCGTATCCTTCTATGCCTTTCGAGAGATTCAGGTTCTGATCGTTGACAGAGGCCTGATCCGTCCGCGGCGGTGGGAAACATCGGCGATGAATAATTGCGTTTAATCGGAAATACGATGGCACGTCAATGACAATAATAACATGGACATAAATCAAAGTCGAGCAATTAATTCTGTCAACCTTCTCGATTTTTCGCGTCTCCGTCTCCTTCTTCGGTCTTTCCCTCAACGGGATCACGCGACGCATACTCTGCACTTGTTCCAACTTGTTCTCGCACCGCTATCGTTTCATCTGCGATTTGTAATAAATTTGCTCGGGGAAGCGTAGGACGATGAAAATACGCGATAGGGAGCACGAGAGGAGAGTTGGGAAAAGGCCAGCACCGGCCGATCACGGAAATCGCTCGCGGTTTAACACCTCCTATCGAATCCGGTTCGAAAGGATTCCTAGAAGAAACCAACGATCGTTATATTTCATTGTCGTACGCTTTAGCGATCGCCATGCTTATCGGACCACGCGATCAAAGGCTACGGAGACCGGTGATTGTATTCGCGTAGCAGACCATTACCGAGAGCCTGGCAATGCCCATCGGAGGCCCGATCGAGAGATCACCGGACGATAGACAGGATGTCCATGTAAACGCGTTTAGAAAAATAGACGAAAAATGGGTCAAGAACTCGAGGGCCGAGCTCGACTTTATTACAAGGACCCTCTGCGAACTGGCATCCTCGAGCTAGCATTTTTTCGTTTTCCTTCTAGTCCAGCTTCGGGAGGAAAGAGGATATAGAGCGACACTCGATGCCCAGGAACTGAAAGCCGACGTCATTGAATGCCACCTAAGGCATGGCTACGGTTCTCTTCGCTGACCTTCGTTCGTTTAGATCGACGACAGTTCCGTGACCGGTCCAGAGTACGACTCGCGTTTCGTAGATTTCGCTGTAATTATATAATTCCTGGGTAAATAACCTCAGCTTCGAATCCGGTTCGCGTTTCGTGATTGATCCTTTCGTATCACCGGGACACTGTCGTGGCTCTGGTCACTCCTCCTCTGGGGCTAGTTAGAAAGTCGGGGCACACTCGATGATCTCTACCATACTTTGTTCCGAGTTCGATCAGCTCTTCCGTGCTGCTGCTCGGTCGACGTTACGCGAGGAGTCGACTTTCGATTTCGAAAGAGGGTATCAAAGCTCGAGCTATCCGATACCCATTGCCGCGCTTTGGTAACCGACGCATGCTCCTCGCTTTGCATTTAAATAGAACGCGATGTCTCCGGATCCTGTGTCCACTTCTCGATTCGAGGCACGCAAAGTCGAAGCTGCCGGCTGACGTTTCGAGAAGATACCGGTGATTTTCCGAAACGGATACGGCTCGTGAGCTCTTCGCTAATCGTTTCTCAGTGTCGGGACCAACGTCTGTCAATACGTCGATGAAACGAGTCGATTTACCGACAAACGTTGGCCAATTAACTTCCGATCCTATTACTCTTCGTGTACACTGAACTTGAATTAAACACCTCGCGCTCGCGGAAGTGTCACTCGTCCGCCGACGCGGCTACTGACAGATTTTTGCGCGCAAAGATCCGATCGACACTTTATGCACGCACGAAATTGTTATATTTTCTTGTCACGTTGCGCTATTTGCAGCACGGAATACCGAGGAAACGTGACAGTTGTAATATCGTACGCGATTTTATTGCGTACCGCGTTATGGCAGTTTCGAGGATAAGCGAGTCGGTTAATACCATTCATTCTGGGATGGAATCCTAACGTGCGCCAGGGTCTTACGATATATCGCAAAGTAATTGGCAGAAGTAATAATTTCCCTGTCTTTTTTTTTTTCTCTTTTTTTAGATTTCTATTAAGCGTCGATCGCGTGTCTCAGGCGAGCCAGGAGTTATCCTTAATTCGCATTCTCTGCTTCGTCTTTCCCTTTTTCCACCATGTCGTTTCGTTCGTATTAAAGAATATTAAACGATAAAGCGTGTACGAGGCGCGTGTACAAATGTATCTGAAATATTAGATCTTCCCTCGGCACTGTTCTGTCCGTATAGTGAATTACGCGCGACGATAATCAAGCGACTCGAAATAAGAGCTCACGCGACTAATTATTAACGGGAAGAACGGAAAGACATCGCGAAAGATGATCGAATGTGTACACGAGGCGTTACATAAAGAATCCTTTCGAATTCGAAAAAGATGCATATCGAACCGGCTTGAAAAGTCTCGATTCGACGTGCAAAAAATATTGATTGCTCAGGCGAAAAACGAATAACGGAAAAATAAAGGATGGAAAAGAAGGAATCGAGCCAGTCACGGTGTCGATTAATTCCCGATGTTGCCTATCGCAAACATCCTAAACTGTATTCGTTTGTCCCTGAACCTGTAAGAATGGCTTTTGCCCGTACTCAGCGTATATAAGACTGACGACGTCCTATCACAAAGCGCAGTGTTAGATTACTACCTCGACGACAACAACCGGCCTCGTGTTATTGACAAACTTGCCGGTGTTTCTACGTTTAGTGACCAATTAAATGAACAATCGTGATCGCTGCGAAACATCATCGCCAAAACACACGCGAAACCGGTTTCAAGCGTAAGGTCCACTTTGAATAGTCATCATGGAGACCGTGCTATCTACGGACATGGGTAATTTTGGTCTTATCGATATCGGCAAGAGCCAGGCCAACTTCGCGAAAGATGTGCCGAAAATGGCCAAGTACACGGTAAGCTCGCAATATTTATCACTCTCAGCTCTAACGTTTCGATAATTCTCCTCGCATACGATACTTTTCTCCTATCTTCTGGTCCAAAACGATGCATTATTACACGGGACGAACAATCGTGAAGCTTCCTGTAACGAGAACAGGCATAAACATAAGTAAGACGTTCGTTATAATGTGTGATAATGTCAAATTATCCGAATACCTGAATCGAAACAACTGCGATTCTGATACATGTATCATCGAGTGCCACGCCAGTGATTAATTTCTTGCTTAACATTCCTCGTACCTGTAATGTACTAGGGGTAATCGTAATTCTGGAAATTAAAACGTCGCATTCTTTCGTATTAACTTTCGCGAATCGTTCCAAACGAATTAACTATAATTCAGTCCTCTGCTAGGCTGCTCATTCATGATCGAGATGTTGCACAAATGAGAACACTTGGCGAATTGCACTCGCAACACTTGGTATAGACCGATGCAATGGGCCACGTTAATTGCCGCGTGTGAAAGCGTTAATTTAATTCTCGTTGTCGCGAAAACAATGAATTCTTATTGTCCCCGTTGCATTAAGTTACGTTTACTCGCGTGTGCACTGTGTTGCACCATACGTTATTCTTCGGAATTCGTGCAACCAGATATGCCACTTCGTCTAAGCAGCGAATTGATCCAACTGCTGATTATCTGTTTGCCTAAATCTAACTAGTTATTAGAAGCGAAAACAATGAAGAAAGCTATTCGGAGAAGGCGGTTTTCCTAACTTTTGCTACTCGCTTGCCTATTCCAGCTGGCGGATACCACGAACGACGAGAGGATTGGCATGGAGTATCACATCCAAACAGTCACCAAGGATGACAAGCTTAGGATACTAAAATTTCTCAGGAGGTTCTTCTTCAGAGACGAACCTCTCAACGACTCGATCGAATTGATCCCGGAGAGCGAAGACAGCACCTGCCTCGAGTTGGAAGAATATTGCAGCATGTCTTCGCTCGAAAACAATCTCAGTCTTATAGCAGTATCAACGAGCGGTGCTATAGTAGGTGTTTTGTTAAATGGTAAGAATTTGATGTACGCATACCGAAGATTAAGCAATGTTTTCATTGTTCATTGAGCTATTTACGCGAAAGCCGCTAGATCTACCATCGTGTTTACGTAGATCCTGATATATCTGGGTTAACAACACAATCGCCTACCAAGAGCATTCTATTCTCAGTAGGAAACAATCATGCCGCAAGTTTAAAAGTTCTGCGAATACAAAGTGGTGACAACGTTGCTCGCGACGAATAATTATTCATAGAGCTTATACATTGAAATGAATCTAGGCTAATAGGATGAGCAGATACTTTAAAATAGTGTACAAAATATTCGCTCATAATCTATGGAGGTCGTTACTTTATTTACGAGACTTATCTTGTTTGAGTACGCGTCTCGATGAAGTATATTATTCTACTTCATCGGATTAGTGCTGAAGATAACAGAAACGTATTCGACGTGTACATATCGGAGTAATATTTTTTATCGGTGTAAATTATGTTTAGAAGTCGTTCGGTTTAAATTTATGTTTAAAAGTCGTTCGGAATAAATTATGTTTAAAAATCGTTCGTACCTTGCTGCGTTTGTAACTAAGCAAATCGCATGAAAAATGAAAGAAAAATGGAATAAGATTCAAAGAGAAGACACGCCTACTACAAAACGGTACTATTCAACGTTACATAAATTGTTGTGCGAGTATCAGGCAAACGTGAGACTCATTAATCGCTACCGGTTGTCGCAATCGCGGTAATTGCATTATTCTATCGACAGATTCACTTAGTCACATGTTATTCAGATTAGAAAGAATCGAGTTAAAAGTGTATTTAAAAAGTGAGGATAGAATAATGCGGGACAACGATTCTATAACATATTCCATCAACTTGCAAATGATTACAATGGTATTCGTTGAGTAATGATCATTTTTCTACAGCTTTATTTTCATCTTCCCAGTCTTTTTTGTGTCTTTCATTGGCATAAACGGTATACGTTATCAGAGCTTCGTTTTCTCGGTAAATTATAATAAACGGTGAACGTAGAACAGTTTTGTACTGAAAGCAAAGAGCTGGTTAATTATCGTTTCAAATGCAAAACAAAAATTAAAAATATCTTTGATCTATGTATAAATTAATAAGACTCGTTTCCTTACAGTAACACGTATCATTAATTCAGTTGTTAATAAACATTTATGTTATCAGTTTTAACAGTGAGAAGAATTCTATGTTAATTAATTGACAAATTGTGTTTGGTGATCACAGGAAAAATGGATCCTCCGAAGGATGAAGAACCTGGGTATATAGCTACATGTGAAAATCCTAAGTTTAAAAAGATTCTCAGGCTACTGAATTACGTCGACAGAAGTGTGAATCGCGATGGAAAGTTCCGGGGGTTGAATATTTTAGAAATAAGAATAATCTCGGTAGATTCAAACTGGAGGGGTAAAGGAGTCGCCAAAGCACTTATGGAGAAAGCACTGTAAATATCATTCACATTATTAATTAAACGTGAATTGAATGTGTACTGGAAACAATTATGTTAATATCGTACATTAATTTATATCGAGTCATCGTTAATTATTGTACTTTGCAGTGAAATTGGAAAGGAGAAAGGTTTTCACATCGCACGTGCCGACTGTTCATCCTTTTTCTCCGGGAAACTTTGCGCACGATTGGGCTTTGAACGAATATACGAACTGAACTATGCAGATTATGTAGATGAGGATGGTAATCCTATATTTTCACCAGCATTTCCACATACGTCGATTGTTACCTATATAAAGAAATTATGAAGAGTGATACTATAGATGTTTGAAATTGAGTACCTGTTTAAAATTGCGGATAATTTTTAAAAACGCACTCCTACATTACGTTATATTTCCCTTCTTGTCGAATATCTAAATACATTGTATATTTCTTCTTCTTTTTTTCTAAATATTTCTTTTATTTATTTATTACTTTTGTACGAATCAATGTAATATTGTTATGATTATTTTATCGTGATGTTATAGAAACACTTTGTGCCAAAATGCCAGCAATAATATTTTAATACGTAACACGCATATTAATAAATACGTTCAACTTTAACTATAAATAAATAAAGTGTTATTAGTATCATAAATACGTACATGATAGTTATATGTCTTTGCTTGGTTGAACATTTCTAAAAAATATATATGAATTTGTTATTATTCCGTTGTAATGAATTTATACACGAAAATAAAAGTAACATGATTTGTACTATATAATTCGTAATACTTTTAATTCCTGTTAATTTTTTAATTTTATCACTACTGTTTATATACAGATTGTGTTACAATTAAGAAAAGAACAAAAATATATTTCTTTTTTTAATTTTTTCGTTAAAAATTTATCTAAAATACAATGTATTCTGTTTAAAGAATAGCATTCCATAAATCATTTATCAGTTTTCATAACGCATTGTGTATTCAATTTTGCTTTACAAAAATGCAAATGCATAATTATACAATAAATTATTTTTATAAATTTTATTATATCACATAAATCTCATTAGATTTCAATATGTAAAGCTAAGTAGACACATTTTCACTATATGTTATTTTATTTATAGTACTGCATTATTACTTATCATAAAATGTTTTATATTCTTTGACCAACTTATCAAAGTGTTGTAATCTTTCTTCCAGTGATTGATTTTTATATTGCATCATACATTCTTCATAATCCTGTTGCATTTTAATATTCTTTTCGTATGCTTCACGCCTCCTATCTAACCATATTTTCAAACGCAATAATTCGATAATTATTCCAATAACTATAATGGCTGCTATAACTAGAAGTGCTCTTTTTTTATCTTCCCATGATGGTTTTCTTTCATATCCTGTATAATACATGTCGTAAGCATGTCTATAAAAACTATCAGATCTGAAAATTAAATATAATTACAATAATTCTTAAAAATAATCTTTGAAAATAATTCTTTCAAGAAATGTACCCAGTATCCTGATAAACGTTATTTCCATGAACATTATTATACTTTAAGTTATAATCATAATTATGTCTACTCTGTCTGTTGCTTAACACGTTATATGCCTCATTCATTTTTACAAACTCTTCGTGACTTCCTGTAATGCCACAGTCAGGATGCAACTAAACAACATTAAAAATTTGTAATGCTACAAAATTTTTCCTAAGAAAAAATCTGAAACATTCAAAATTTCTTACTCACTTGTTTTGATAATTTAATATAAGCATGTCTTATTTCTTCTTGGCTTGCACTCGGCGAAATATGCAATACGTCGTAATAAGTAGATCGACGTCTTTAAAAAAAAATTTTAAATGTCAGGTCTATAGATATAACAAATAAAAATATCGCTGTCAGATTCTAACCTTTCATAACTATAATTTCTACAGAATACACGAATTAATACAGGTACTCGAAATTTGTATGCACGAGAAATTTGTGCCATACTTACAAAACTATGGCGTAATTGCAAATTTAAGTTTAATTTAATATAACTACATATCACAGTATTATAAATTTATATTATAATTACGCTAAAGTCAATGATTTGTGGCGCCATCTCCCTGATTACAGTACTCCTCGAGCCTTGCCGTGCCAACCGAAAAGTGGCAGCACCATGCGTGCAAGCAAATTCTTGCTGTCTTTTAGCGTCTCGCCACGGCCACTTTCGCCATGGTCATTTCCACCGTGGTCACTTCCATCATGGCCATTTCCGCCGTGGTCATTTCCATTATGATCGAGTCCCGCCAGAACCAACTTCGCTTCGGCCAGTTCGTCATCAGTTTACAAAGCCAGTGAAAGTTTTCCGGGTCACCAATTTAATTGAAATTTTGCAGGTTTGTAGATAGCGTCATGCAGTTTAAGAAAATATATCATTATAGCCACAATTATTAAACAATTTTTGAAATATTTACGTTTAAACTTTTATTCCAACTATTATTATCAATTTATTTCCAATAGTTTTCAAGTGGAGTTGTGGCGTAGAGGCGACATTCGAGAATTCCTATGCCCTCAAGTCAGGGTTCGATTCTCCTTCGGTATTGATACTTTTTTTTTAAATCTATTTTTTATTTTATATTTATTTTTCGCCTATAAACACATTGTAAATAAACAATTGTAAATAAAATTTCTTAATAAAAAAATTTATTTTTTACTCCTTATGCTGCTATATATTTATTACAAAATAATAAGAATATTATGCATGAAAAACACATTTCTATAGTAATCTTATTTGCTACTAACTAATTATTGAATTAAACATTGTATAAGAATGTTGCCTATAGCTCCAACTTTGCTGTGCAGCTATAAATATTCATGAATTAATTACAGAATCTTGGAGATTTATTAATTTTCTATTGCTGAATAAATAAAAATTTTACCGCCTGCGATCTATGATTTTGGACCCGAAAATCAGAAAAGTAATAGGAATATAGAATAGGCGAGGAGGTCGTCGAAGAGCTCGCCGCGTGACAGACAAGGACAGAGAGGGGATAGAAAAGGATAGAAAGGCTCCGACAATGAAAATTAATAAATTACTCAATTTCCGTAATTAATTTATGAACTTTTATAACTTCATTGTAAAGTTGGAACTTCAGACATCATTCCTATATAATTTTCGCAAAGAATTTAACTCTAAATTGCTAGTTCTTAATTTTTGTTTTATGGCGTCTATGATTTCGTAACGACGACCATTACGATCTTCCGTGAAAATATTTAATACTCACCGAAACTAGAATCCAAATGTGATCAAAAGTGTTATGAGAAGATTCGCAAGAACATTGTTTTTATAATGAGTACATAAAGTTTCATAAATTAATTGCGTAAAGGATAGTAATTAATGAAAAACCAATGGCGTCTTCGACAATTTTCGACAATAATTCAAACACTCCGTAGAATAATAATTAATAATTAATTAATTAGGGACAAATTTCTATCGAAAAATATATTGGAAAGTTCTTGAAGGATCTGCCTTTACGATGCAATTATAAAAGTTCATAAATTAATCACAGATATTGAGTAATTAGTGAATTTTCCACTGCCGATTTCATTTATTAAAATATATTCGGAGCACATAACCAGAGTTAGTAAACTGATATCAGAGCCATCTATGTTCTCGTTGCGGAACTCGAGCTTTAAGTCTAAAATCATAGATGGCTCTGATGTCAGTTTACTAACTCTGGTTATGAGCTCCGAATATATTTTAATAAATGAAATCGGCAATGTAAAATTCACTAATTACTCAATATCTGTGATTAATTTATGAACTTTTATAATTGCATCGTAAAGGCAGATCCTTCGAGGACCTTCCAATATATTTTTCGATACAAATTTGTCCCTAATTAATTAATTATTAATTATTATTCTACGGAGTGTTTGAATTATTGTCGAAAATTGTTGAAGACGCCGTTGGTTTTTCATTAATTACTATCCTTTACGCAATTAATTTATGAAACTTTATACACTCATTATAAAAACAATGTTCTTGCGAATCTTCTCATAACACTTTTGTTCACATTTTGATTCTAGTTTCGGTGAGTATTAAATATTTTCACGGAAGATCGTAATGGTCGTCGTTACGAAATCGTAGACGCCATAAAACAAAAATTAATAACTAACAATTTAGAGTTAAATTCTTTACGAAAATTATATAGGAATGTTGCCTGAAGTTCCAACTTTGCAATGAAGTTATAAAAGTTCATAAATTAATTACGAAAATTGAGTAATTTATTTTCACTGTCGGAGCCTTTTTATCCTTTTCTATCCCCCCTCTGTCTTTGTCTGACACGTGACGAGCTCTTCGACGACCTCCTTGCCTATTCTATATTCCTATTACTTTCGGGGTTTTTGAGCCCAAATCATAGATGGCGCTGATCACAGGCGGTAAAATTTTTATTCGAATTAGATACCTCTTCTGGTTATGCGCTAATAATGCACTTTAATAAATCAATTCGACAGTAGAAAATTAATAAATTTCAAAGTTTTTGTAATTATTTCATGAACATTTATAACTGCACAGCAAAGTTGGAATTATAGCCAACATTCTTACACAATGTTTAATTTAATAATTAATACTTACATGGACGATAGTTATTCATATTTTATAATCTTTATGTCATTCTTAGAAAATCAAGAATGTATTTATTAAACTGTAAACAAAAATGAAAATCGAAGTAAACTACGAAATTCATGAATTAAATATTTATTAAAAACCAAACTCAGATTTTATAATATAGTAACAATTCTCATTTGCGTTTGGTGTATAGTATAAAATATATTACAATATGTATACAGGAAACATCCTTAATTGTATAAGATAGGCCTCAAGCCCAGCTCGATGTCTATGCATTTCAGGCTTATCATACGTAATTTATGCAATATTTGTTATGCGTTTTGTATAAGCTCTAGTATTATAAAAAAATTATTATATATGTAATTTATATTGCATATCTTATGTACAAATTGTACGTTATGACAATAAACTGTAATGCAAGCCTTTATTATGAGATATGAAATTAATTTGTAATGTAAAAATCCTGCTTGTAATTTATAAAAGTTTACATATATATTTTATTTGTTTTATTTGAATATTGGCTTGCAATCATAAATAATACTTCAAGAATCAAGTGCATTGGCACAAATAACTTTTGTCTATATTGCATATTAATTAAATCTATTTTATATATTTTAAAAACAGTAGATAAAAAAAATACATTCAGTTTGCTAAAGAGTTGCAATGTAATACATCAATACAGTTACATTCTAATAAAATCTCTTATTAAAATAACGATTCAAATTTTTAACTTCAATCAAAATATATAAAAATTTTTAATTATATCGCTATGCTTCACTTTTTTGTCTCACAATTCATGATAGTTTCAGTTTGCAAGAATTAAAGTTATCACTTGCTAGTAGTAAAATATATACGTGTTTATGAAGTTATTTACCGTTTTTAACAATTTAAATGTGAAGGCAAGTTATCTTTTTTCAAGCAATCCGAATGTTTTCAAGATCACTACATATTCAGAATGTGTCTACTCGTTTTTATTTTCTAGCAAAGGGACATTTGGATACTTTGGAAAATCTACAGCATCTATTGGATTTTTAACTTTAAAACTAGGAAATAATCCTGTCATACTAGTTCTACTATTGTATCCCTTAGAATAACCATCCCAATGATTTCCAAAAACTTCAATTGAATCTCCTACTTTTAATTCGATTTCACCATCTTTTCTTGGTTTATGATCTAAAATAGCCTGATGAGGATGTGGATTTTGCCCTCCATAATAGTAGATGTCATCCAAAGATGCAAAACGATTGTAAGCATCTGAATAATATGTCTGCATCAACTCGTATGCTACGCGACATACTTGAGAACTGAATGTGCACACCAAATAGTCGCATTCGGATAACAGATGTATATCGATAATTATTCCTTGTAAAGAAGAATCGGAATATCGCTTTGCAACTGAAGCTGTTTCAGCTATTTCTGGATCCCCTATTATTTCATAATTCGGGTAACGACTTCTTGCCGTTATGATCGCTTTCGGATCATCACTTGCTAAAAAGACTCTTTTCACATCTGGTTTGGTTTCAAGTTCATCGAAATATTGTTCAACTTTAACCATATATTCGTCTATATCGTGGTAAGCAGCTTCGGTACCAACTTTATCTGTTCTTCGTACATGAATACCAACAATCGGTTTTTTAAAACCAAGTCTCTCCTTTGCATAATCCAATGTTCTTTTCACATGTTCTTGAGGTCGCATTAAATATTTTAAAACTTGACCTACCCACCATACTAAGGGATGACCATGAAGTTTCTCCAACCTTGGAGCTAAATCAGCTGGTACACTTGGTGGTTGAAAACTTGGTTTTGGATAAACATTATCTACAATTGGTAATGAGATGACTTGCTTAGAAGAATCACTAGGCCAACTGGCATGTGATGCTCCATTTGTGGATACACATGTATCACTAAGTGGTTTAAAGACTGATTCCCAACCATCTTTGTGATACCTCCAACCTTTAGATCTGATTATCAATGTTCGTTCTGTGCCATAAGCAACCAAGAAACAATATGTAATATGATGAATCTAAAATATATGAAAATTTTATTCATAATATTCTACATAAATTCATACTTTTATTTAATACAAATTCTTATTTACCTGACATCCAAACCCACAACCTTTGTTTAAACTGCAGACTAATTTTCTTGCTTTATTACAATCACTAGGATTTTGTAAATACCTGAATCTTCTTTGTACAAGATCAGACAATTCTTTTGCTTCTCTTTTACGCCATTCATCATAGCCATCTGCTTTTGTTAATCTATCAATATCTATTATAAGAGATCGTTTATGATCCCAAACATTTTTTAATGTGTCCTGTATTCTTTTTTCTCTTTGTTCATAACTAAGTTTATCAATAGACTTTTTAAATTTGCTTAGCTCTGCACTAATATAATACCTGTATAAAAAATTTAAGAATTGTACATGGTATTCTTGTTGTTTTACATGCAATGACAAATTATACTTCAAACATCATACTTACCAAGTCTCTTGAATATTATTTCTTATTCTACGTCTTAACTCTTCATATTCAAGAGTAGGAACACCATGCTTAATATTATCTTGATGATCCAATAAATCGTCATACATTGAAACCTTTTCAAGCTTTTCATGTATTGAACCTAAATGGTCCCCTTGAATAGATTTTGATCTTTCTCTGGAAATTATGTTATCCTGTACAACGAAAAGATCACAATGCTCTTTCTTTCAAACTTCAAATAAATCTGCTTGTTTTTATAACATCTGTTATAACTTACCCTAAGACTATATTCTTTAATGCTTCATTTTGTCTCTTAAGGATTTCAAAATCATTAACCATTTGGGCTAAACGTTGAGCATTTTCTTTATTTGTAGGACTTTCATTATTAGATGACAGATTATTAGCTTTAAAGATATGTGATACTGATATTATTAGTACCAAAAGCCATGTAGCTAATAATGCTATCCCTACTTTTCCTAACCAACCAGGTCTTCCTGACCAAAATGTTGCCATTTTATATTATAGTAACAGGGTTATTATATTTGATGAGTTGCATTACGTCATCTATAAATGTAAAATTATCATTCATTTAATGGAAAATTTCATAACATAGTAATTGTTATATGAAAAATATACAATATTAAAAGTATGTTATGACACAGTATTTTGTAAGTCCATAATAGACTTACTTAAACTCCTCCATTAAGCAATTAAGAAATATATATTGTAGTTGTAAATTCGCAATAACCATCAATGAAACTACTTTAACATTAAAATGTTATGAATGACGTATGACACGACGTAATTGAAAAAGGAAACAAAATGATGTGGTAAAAAAAAATATTAAATTATCCGAAATTGACATTAATATGTTTTTATGTGCATTACAAATAATCTGATGTTGGCAAATTAGATGAAAATTAATCTCACCAAGTGCTTTAGCATCTCTATAAAAATATTTGAAACATGAGATAAAAAACATTCATTATCGTTAACGTAACCATAGGAACGAGTTCTTTATATCAATTTGTCAACTTTACTTTCATATGCGGTTACAGTCATTAAACACTGTTTCATGTGGCAAGCACTAACAATGTGGGTTACAATCCTTACGCATACATTATGAAGAGTTTGCACTGAAATAGTGTCAAGTACTCTAACCAATAGATACATTGATTTTACAATATTTGAACATAATTCTCATGAACGAAATTAATACTACAGTTATTTACTCGCTTGTCAAAGTAGCTATATAATATTGTATAGTAAACGAAATATTTTATTAACGATATTACACATACATTTTTAAATTATTTCACAAAGTACGCAATTTTATTAATGTTTAAAGCGTTAATAACACCTGAAATATTATAAATGTGAATAACTAATTTTAGGACGAGACTTTTATATCAGATGGCGGTAAAAATGCTACGTTTGATTCTAGCATCAAACACCGCTATCTATGCGTTTCATGCATGATTTTGTCGTCTAACCTAGAATCTTGACACTTTAAGTACGGCGTTGTGCAAATGTGAACGGACGATTAACGCCAATCAAAGTCTATAAACTATTGTTTGAACGATATTTTAGTGTTATTAACGAATCGATTACCGAGGTGAAAGTAAAAATTAAGTCGATAAGTCGTGGATAGGAAAAGCATGAAATTGACAGAAATAACGTATTGGTTTGGTATCGTGTCGCGGTATTTCTAAACGCGGGTTGGTTCTTTACCTTCCCCTCCCCTCTTTCCC